AGTTAATATTTGTAGGTAAATATTGGGTAGGAAAATTTAATTTCATTACGTTAAGGTAAACTATTGAAATGGGTGCGTTTTGACGTTAAATGCTAATGAGAAAAAATGAGGTTGCATTAGATTTAATTTATCTATAGGTGGTACACTGCACTTTATCCTCGCTTTTTGAACTTGAATGATTTAATTAAACGTTGTTTAATGATGATCGCGCTCTTAATAATCGAATCATTCTATAATCTTTTACCCGACGAACTTTCCGTATAAATCACATCTTGGCGATAATAAATTAATTTGTTGATATGGATACAGAATTTATCCGGCTTTGAATGGAAAAGAGGCGCGTAAAACACGAGATTTATGAAAGGATTTTCCTCGGCGGGCCGTATTTTCGGCTTTTCACGACGAACAAACGGCATTCAACTATACGCCGCGCTGGAACTAGGGCTATTTTTTTTTCAACGGATTTTTTCCCTTCGCTGAATAATGTTACAAATTAATGGCCGTTGATGGGTCGACGGCATATTTTTCAAACGCGCAAAAGTAACAAGATAGGTATAAAGTTGATAATTATTTTTTAGTAATTAACCGAGGAAAAACGGACCGCATATGCGTTGGTTCATTCGCAACATTTCAATTAGTAATTTAAGATATGTAGGTAATAAATACTATTACACTCACACCTTTTACAATGAACAAACCGTATCGTGCATATAGTAAACCCGACGTAATCCGTATGAACGTAGAGCGGGAATAATTAGCAAAATATGCAAATCTCTGGATAATAAACAATCATTGCCGATGGCAGATAAACCAAACGAACCGGAGACAAACGTACAATAAAATTGATGGGTTACGGCCTTCCGATTCCGTAAATTATTGAGAAGAATCGAGGTCCGATGTGCGGTCTAATACAATCGTCCTGCCATCTGGGCCGCGCCCGGTTAGAATGCGATATTTATGATTCGATTTATTTAATCGTTATGGGCTGCTTCATCCCAAAAGTCCCGCTTCAACGATAAAAACAATTGACCGTATTCATTCGTACTATATAAACCTACAAAAAATAACGTAGGTTAGTTTAACGTTTTTACGATATTTCAACCTTTAGGTTATTGAAACTTGCACGTATAATTCACCATTTCTCAAAACTAAAACTCACACGTTCTGCCCTGACGTGCACGGGAGGGTAAACAGGGAATTGACGAAGAAGGAATTTTTTTTTGTTCGTCGTTTTGCGCTTTGTCGCTCACTATTAAATAAGGGAAGTTGGAGAAACGCCAATAGATTATTCCCGTTGTGACAGCTCGTATTGACGATCGCGGAAAAAATATTTGAAAACGGATATAAACAGGATTCGGGTTGCTTAAGAATTCTGGGGCGCAGAATTTGATGAAAGAGACAAATAAATCAGTTTCTAGTTTTGTTCGGTACGTGACAGCTGTTTTGCGTTTAAACGCGAGATGTGTTTTCTTCTGAAAAATGCACTTACACTTTATTATCTTACGAAATAATGTATTCTGTCGTTAATGAATTGGCACTTACATTATATATACAACAAGTTATTGATGTCAAAATTCAATGTTATAATAAAGTTTCTAGCTTCGAAGTTAGTTGAGTTTTACTTATAATAAACACATCAAGTGCTAATCCTCACTCTAAGTTTCTCCAATAACCACTCTTAACAACTACTCAAAGGTATCGTAACATAATAATGTAAATTATAACATCATGTAATACCTAATATGAAATTATTAACTTATTATTCAAATTACTATGCAGGCATTATGTAAAGCATTGATTAGTCATTTATTGTTTCCGATCGCAAAGAGCATACTAATTATAATAAATTTTAGTTTACAGTTGAGATATTAATTACACGTATGCTTGCGAATTCGACAGTTTAATTCGAGCAGATATTGTGTCGATGGTACTTACTAATTTTGAACAATTATTTGGTAAATTTGAAACAACATTCATATAAAAGGAGCCCATTTGTTAGTTTCGGTTTGATCAAACTAATCTGTTGGTAACATCACATTTAATTATTATCGATTGTTCTAAATAATAAATTATTCAAATGAAACAAATTGATTTAATACACGCAAGAATAATGATGCAACGTGGTTAAATTACTACATACCAGCTAAATTCGCGTTAGATATAAAATTTGCATAGAAAAAGAATGAACTCTTTCTATTTTCAAAACGTATGAACTCTATCTACAATACAAATTCAGTAATTTATTTCTTACCATTCCCTACGTGTTTCTAGAGTGAAACTATCAGTTAAAATAAATAAACCGAATAATTCACTGGGACTTAGAACGGTAGCAATCAGTAAATGTAAAGCGATGTAAAAAATAAGTACCTAATATTCCTGTAAAACGGCGCGAGATATCTTATGGGTGTTTGAAAACCGAAACTTCTTGTCACACGTGGTAGAGAAATAAATAACCCGGTGTATCTGGATGTTAATCACGACCGCAGCACTTGTGATCTTGATTTACGATCTAATAAAATAATTTAATTTTTTTTGGGGGGGTGACTGCTTTTTTGGTCTTGTTTTGAAAGTTCGGGCATCGATTTTTCATCGTCGTTAAATCGTGCTATTTTTGAGTTGTCGAGTTAATTAGTCGTTTCGTCGGTTATTAAATTTTCTTTTTTTCTTTTTTAACGACGTCATTTTTTAGAGAATGAATATTTGTCACCGTTAAATAAGATTTAATTGCTTGTTTTTCTTTCGGCGGTGGAAAATATGGGGCGACTAAACGTCTACATTTTTCATTGAGACATTAAAACAATGTTGCTTATCAATTATGTGTGGTATACCTAATTTTGTGAATTTATCATGCACCTATACATTTCGTATGTGACAGAAAAATATTTAATATACGTGATTAAACACACCGCATCACGCCAATCTACTCGAATTCCAAACAAATAAACAGAAATCGATAAACAGCCGCTGTAACAATCCTCATTAAGATTAATGTTTATTTTGGTTTCGCTTTAGTCGACCTGTAAACGCGTTTTAATTCCCACAGAGAAATATCATTCATTTGCGATTTCAGTTTACGTTTCGCGCATAAAATTAGAGGGCGAAATTGCGAACTTTGTATATTGCAATCTCATCCTGTTCCGAAGTGACTGCAGTGTGATTATGACAGAAGTGATTCCTTTTACACGTTCCGCGTTCGATGTTTTTAATTTTACATGACGAAAGCAACGTGGTTGTTTTTCAGGAGGACCTGACGCTCGCGTTTTATAGAAAGGGAATTTTAGACGCCGCGTAAAGCTTGACCGCGTTTGATCTTGGGATACTGGGGGTACATGCTAATTTTAGGGCGTCTGTCGAGTAAATATTTTAGCATACAAATTTTGTAATTTTCTTGTTTATTGAATACGAAACTAGGTATACTGAGCAAACCAGATTATATGAAGGTATACAAACTAAACTAAATCTATACTAAACGCATTTTCTATTCTTTTGATCTCTTCGTTTAGAACGAACCTGGTTTAGAATTTGATTTCGTTTGGGATTTAAGTGTAATATGTATTATGCCCAAACACAACGTAGCGCAATTACAATACTATACTGTCCGTTTCGACCCTTTCATCTTAACGGTGTAATCCCCGAAATTCGCTCGGGATTATCGATCAAGTTTGCGTAAGTGAGCTTGTATAAATTAATAAACTAACACAAACTCATCTCCATTGGGAACATTGTTTATAACTGCAGAACCCTTTGTGTCGGTAATGGAACGGTTAAGCTTAAGAAATTACTAATTTGTTAAACTAAATTTTTTATCGGAACACTGAAAGATGAAGATAAGAAAATCCGTTTCTTCGATAACTGGTCTATAAATCTTTTGACGAAATCCCATACTACACTCTAAAACCGCTATTACCCGCCTTCCCATCATCTAAAAATATATTCCACCTTCATTATGACCGGAACGTAAAGATTTTAAAAGACAAAATAAGGAAGATTTAGCTCCCCCATCTATAATACGTCAACCGTGCAATCATAATAAACTTTCATACATGTCACGGTTAACTGCCTATCAGTGTAAATTACATTATTTTTAGACGGGATATCCATCTATCCCTGTTTATGTCCCATCCATTCGGTGATAGTTTATGAATACCGATTGTAACGAAAAAAAAAAAAAACTGTTTCAGTTAAATGGATTTTTTATTAAAGGCGATAAGTACAGTAAAGTATACTGAGACCATTCGCTGTAATTACTTAACGCTCGACGAAATATGTTTAACATTTTAAACAAATACTCTCATGAGCGTGCTCTAAACTTCACATATAAAACTAGACCATAAAATCGTTTAATTCCTTCCACAACTCGTGCAGGAAGTAACATAATTTAGAAACTTAAAGTTATACCAACGACGTCCGAAAGGCGAGCTCGCGAAGTTCCCAACGAGTTTTATATGGGTCCAAAAAATAAGTTTGTCAGCGAATTTCGACAACAACTGAACCAAACTTCCACGAAGTAACTCCAAACAAAAGGTAAATATACAGATACAGCTGCCGATCTTATTACGAAATTTCTAATCTATACAAGATGTTAAAATCGAATATGCTAAATAGGATGCAAAGTTCAGTTGTATCAGGTGTTTTAATGGTTCAAAGAAAATGTTTAAAAGGTATTTTATAAGTTGTAGGTTCTTTTAATATTCATGAGCGATAAAAACGTAAATTAAGAATATTATTTCGAATTGAGTGAAGAAAATTAATTTAATGCTCATAAACGATTACTTTGTATAATAATTTTATTGAGAGTTTATTATCATGTCGTTTTTATTACTATAATATTCTGCAGTAGTATCGATTTTTTCATTTATAGCACTTTGTCGCTGGACCTAATAACCTCCATAACTGGGTTAAAGTTATAAAAAAAATAACCCAATATCTACTACATTGTATACAACAATTATATCCAAATTACCACATCAATAACATTTTTAAAAGTATATTAATATTACCTTAATTATCCATTCAAAACAACTAAAATCCACTACCTCGTCTATAAAAGTTTTTCTAACAATGAAAGCGATTTATCCACTAAACTTTACAAAAAGAAATATATAATCCACAAAACTCACTAAAAATTCACCGCGCGGAAAATGGAAAATCTTCCGAAAAATTCCCCTCTCGATCGGCCCTCGACCGGCGGGCGAAGTAAAAGCCCGCGAACTACGAACGCGTCGTCGGCGTCGCGATGCCGCCAAACACGAGCGTCGATTCCGTACTGTCGACGCGAAGCTTATTGCACGAACGGCGCTCTCCGGCTCGCCGGCCGCCCCTCCAAACTGATCTTGTTTTAAATTAGTGACTACGAATTGGTTTCGTAAGTGGATGGTCTTAAGGAGTTATTCTTGTCGATGTCGCCGGAATGGAGGCAGGCGAAAGAGGACGAAAAATTGGGTTAAGAGGTGCAGGAGGCGGTTTTTTCCGAGGGTTCGAAACGATCTTGATACTCATTAACTGGGGGTTGTTGGTGAAGTGAGCGTGGATGCTGGTTTTTTAATTTCCTTTAAAATTCAATAAAAACACGTCTGAAACTCTTTTTTAACCGTTTGCGGAGTATACATCAAAGTTCGCTACTAATAACGTATAATAGGTTACTCTATGATTATATTCCCAGAGTGCATGCCTCTTGTAAAATTCACATTTTCAGTCTATTTCTCAATATACCCGTGCTATATCAAACGTATTTCGAATAGCAGTTGAGTTGTTCCTATTTTGCGCATCTCCAGAGGATTCCGTGCACGGAGCTCTTGTATACAAGCCGTGATTTCGTTTCCACCTCCGGCGAATTGCGATTCACCTTTTTCGAATCACTTTTGTTGTTACGGTTTATGTAATGTCATTTATACAAATGCACGGGCCATAAAGGTCCGTAGAGAGGAAACGCGAGAATTTCCTTCGATGTGCAATTGAGTGCTCGTAGGAATTGTTACGGGTATTTTAAAAGCCTCGTTTTTCGTTAGATAAACAGCAGGAAGCTGCTTATTTAAAAAATTATCCATGCATCACTTTGATCTGACACTGTGACATTTTTGTTAATCGTACTCTCGTCTGGTCGAAGGAGCGTCTGAAAACGCTACACCGTTTATTATTATTCGACTAAAAATACCGAAAATGAAAACCGTATAGGTAGGCATAAAGGAAAACTCGCGCGGACAGATTAATTTTCCTTTTTATTATAAATAAACCGGCGTCAAATTTTCAATTATTCCCGAGAGAAAAACGAGTCAACGGCTTCCCGAAGCGCAATCTTCCAGGTAGTCCCGAAATAGAAACCACGAAAAGAAATCTCAAGACGAAGTTGGCATCAGACAAACGGGATTTTTTTTCTCCAATTTGTTTCGCTCTCGAGAGGTAACACAACACGAGAGATTTGTAAAAACAAATATTGGGATACCCAAATTCGTCCGGTTTTGATTATTTTAGAATCAACTGAAATATACACGAATATGTTGTAAAAATAAATTACAGAAAAGCTTTGTTAATAAATTACTCGCCTACAAAAAAAATATGATGTGAATTTTCCCATTGGGGCCGTTAACGAGAAAATGTTTAGTAGATGCAATGAAATATCTCGTCTCACGCAAGCTGCGAAAGAAGATTCCTGTCTTAATCGTTTTAACTGAAAGGGCCGCTTTGTGTGAAGCTCTCTGGCGTGTTAAAATCCGTCCGTTTGATATTTTTTTGTTTATTTATCTCGACGCGGAACGGAGAACGAACGATCCGCCCCGACAGAGAACGGACAATTAAAAGGGAGATGATAAAAACGCCATTAGATTAAATTTGTAAACGTTTCGTTCGGGTAAACAGAGAGTTTAATTCATTTGGGTTTTTTCCAGTACAAAATACTATTTCAATTGGGAAAGTTATCTCATTCAATTAACTGATTGATGGTGCAATAGTGGTGTTAGAACATATTTTTGAGCGAGCGAACCGATCAGGCGATGCATTAAACTGATGAAAACTAACGAATATTTTTGTATGGAAGAAGATAAAATAGTAAAAGAAAATAATATTTATCTGATGGTTAATAATAATCTGATGTAATAATTAATTATTTCGAAAAATAGGATTCTTTTAGCAGAATATAATAAGTTTTCATGGAGCAAAAACTAGCTAAATACGATTTTGGTGGATTTTTCCAGTCAAATACATCGATAGTCAATTCAGCTAATAACGCGCAACATTCACGGTTCGTCGATTTCATATTTCATTGTCGAAAGTTTACGTCACATACTTGCGTGCACGCGTGAACGCGTGTCTGATTTGCCTTTTCCTTTATAGGTCAAGAAGCTAGTAACTTTTCGGAAAATTCACTGGGTAATTTATCGGCGGGTGATCGGTTAATCCGGAGATATGAAGTTTCGTGAGCGTTCGCTCTACGAACGCTGTCGTGAATATCTCGTTTGGTAAAAACTCGATTTGAAAATATTCAGAGAAATTCCACATTTTTATTAAATTACCGAAACTTCAAGGCAGGAATTTTATCTTTCGCTGTTAACGTTGTGTCATTGTGTCCCGGCAGGAATTGCGTTTCAGTAAAATTCCTTATCTGATGTATATGTATTCAATCGAAGGTCCGACGGGAAGGTTTGTTCCGACTGGAATTGAATTTCCTTGAAAGGAACTGATTATCTGGAAAGGTAGGCTTGACCATTTACCGATGTTTTATTCATCAACAAGAAGAATTGTTTTTTCCTTTGTCGAGTTCTACCGTATCGCACAAAAAAGAGTAATCGAAAACGTTCCCTCGGAGCTCCTAAAATTACCTTAACGATCGACTTAGAACACAAAAAATTCATTAATTTTTAATGATGATTTACTCCAAAGCTTAGACTAACAATTGATAATTGAAATATTAAAGAATGCGGGTTAAATCACATTTACTCCAAAAAATTCTTTTGAAAAAAAAGATCATTTTTTGTTAGATCGCAAAGTGTTGATGGTTGCCATTTCCACTTTAAACATAATTGTAAACTCAATTACAGCACAGTTTACTATTGTTTTGCGGCTGGCAATATTGTAAGTACATACAGAGCGAACATTCTGAGAACATTCTAGAGATTCCCCGGCCGGCGCGGCGCCCGGGAATGCCTACGATTCCATTCAACTGTCGTCAATAATGGAGTGAGAGGAAACTTCATTACAAACGCAGAGCCCACTTCTTGCTAGTTACGTCATCTCGCTACAGACGAGTGCTACCTGCTGGCTGAGGCTCGAATGAAAATAGGAAATTAGATGTGGTCGTCTGTGCAGCCGGTGCGCTTGCATAATGCATACAGTTTGGTTTAATTCACACGGGCAAACCGGCTGTTTTGATTTTGCGGTTGCGTTCCGAAGGAGAATCCACTTCGATATTTAATTTGTACGATATATTATGTAGAGATGGGCTTTTGTTTACTTTATCCTTTTATTTATTATCCTCGTATAAAGAGGTGTCTATTCTTTCTCAACAACGCGCAACGTTCGTCGAAATTAGAGGATCTTCATTAATTTCGGTTCCGAAAGAGAACGTGTTCGTTACCGAAGGCATATTTCGATGATAATAATCCAGCACCCCGGGACTAAATCCACTATCGCAGTCGGTACACGTCCTATAGGAAGTGGAACTAAGATTATATGCCGGGTTTCTAATGGGATAGATCCTAATTAGTAAGCAACGGTGTTTATACACTTCTTTCCACTACGGACTTATTAAATCACTGGGAAGTTAGCCAGTCGGAAATTTAGCCTGAAAGTTTTTAGAAGGAATGCGTTTTAATGTTAATTATCGCCCATTAGAATTCATTACGGCATGTTCAAGAATTTTCTTCTAAAGTTCGTTTCATTATCTTTTTTTACTAATCCCTATCGCAATTAGGTATCATTCCTCTATGTTAATTGCGAGGTAATTCGTAAAATTGATATTGCCATGATCACATAGATAATACAGTTAGATGTACTAAGTTTTTATGCCCGTAGATATAAAGTCCATTTCATGTTGAACAGAGTAAAAAAAAAGATTGTAACGAGTAATAAAAATTATGTTCTTGTTGTTTGTAAGGCAAAAGTTTTCAGTAAGTGCCTATAATATCTCCGTGTATTTTATAAAGCGGTCCTAATTAAAGTATTTTAAAGCAACGTTTTCGTTTAGATATACGTAGTTGCTTAACTTTGTTGTGCTTTATTCGGTCATTAAAACTGCCGTAAATGCCGGTACGTTTCTGTTTCTCTCCGGTCTACATGACCCGAATTTCGTATACCCGAAACAGTTTTCCGGCCTTTCAGCCGGCAGATACGTTTTGTTTGTTCGGCATTAAGATATCCTTGCCGATGTCTATGCAACAAAAATAATAAAACGAAAAACACAACGCTGCGGTATAAAGTTCCGACGTCCAAAAGCGCCGTACGAAATTGGCTTGTTTCTTCATGCTTTCCGTATAGTCCGATAATCCTGTAGGAACAGCAACTTCCATTTGTTGACATTCAGTCCTTGTATATTTTCGTCTACGCCGAGTTGTTGTGTGTGTACTCAGTTTCCGCCGCGGACTGCAGCTCTTAGGGAATAAAAGGCTTTAGACGGATTCCCGAGACATATAAGGGACTAATTCTGATATATTTACTAAGTGATTTGTCCTTTTTAAACCGTTTATGAAACCCAAACTTGTTAACTACAAAATACTTGAAGCGACAAAAGCAAATCCTAGTATACGGTGACATCGTGAAGTCCAAAGTTGCGTGATTTGTTTTCATTAAAATTGTCAAAATAAATTATTAACTTTTTAATACAACAAAAATTTATTTGTGGATAAAGAACTTTTTAACATTTCTAACAATTCCATCGTATATTTTACGATTAATATTAAAAAAAATCCCAATTTCCAATTCCTATCGGATGCAAATATAGTTTTTAGCGTGCATATATGAATAAAATTCTATTCTCCAGTAACGTCGACAAATTATTCGCATACGTTGATGTCTGATTAAGCCCCTAATCGATTCGCTCTAATTTAGTTAAATAATTTATTTCCCGATAAGCCCTTACTTCGCACAACAAATAATCAATCTACAACCTGTTGAACACAGATATCACACCCTTTCTGGATTAATTAATCATACAAAACCTATTTTAAATTCAGTAGGTATGGTGTTTTCCATTTTTCTTCATCCGTGTTGAAAGATTGAATTAGCGCATGCCTATGTTGAGTATTACGGAGTTTATCCTTCAAAGGGAAATTTATTTGTCATGTTAATTTGTTGGAAGAATAATTTAGTAGTAGGTATTATTCGTTTGGATGTACTGATGAGTTTTAATAAACATACAATTACACCGCAGTGCAGTTAGAATATTAATCCAGTCGCGGGAGTGAAGCGTCTTTTCTCCGCCCTCGGCAAATTCAGATTTCACTTAGACAATGCGAGCTTTATTGTTTAATCGAGGCTTTGACATCAAAATTGAACTTCCCAATAGATTATTCAATGTGTTGGGAACTGAAAGCTCCAATTTATTATCTCCGGGTTTATCCATATTTAGCTCGGTTTAAATTCGACGTTTCCAAATTTACAGTAATAACATATTTTTAACTGATAATTCGAACGTTTAGAATTGAATTTAAATCGAAGCTTATTTGCATACATAATCTCATAAATCGCTCCCCTAAATACTGCACTAATTGGCAACATAACAACAAACTATCCGTAATGGGTAAATCTACAGCATAGCACATATGCGGATTGGAATTGTTCCTTGTGTGCTTCCTGATATCTCGTTAGTGATAATTATGGTGGGCTAGAAACCCGCAATCGTGTACATAACAAATTGCTGTCGTATATACATACCATTCCACAGGAAGGAAGGACGTAGGACGGTCGAGAAGAAACTTTGCGTTTTGGGTTGGAGTTAGCAAACTGCATTGTGCTTGTTTACTATTACTATTTCCGTTACATTATAATTGTATTTTTGACTTGGCGAAATTTTATTCTCCGGAATGTAATAATTTATCGAACGAACCGAAAGGAATACAGTCATCTAATAACAAAAATCATTTCCCATGTTTGCAATTCGCATATTTATGTTCAGAACTAACAGGGAATTAACTAGTTTCAATTGTTCTACCACTGAAATAGAAACCAACTCACGGAACAGTTTAAATATAGCTAGCAATTAGACGGGATATCCAAAGGGTGGAAGCGAGAAAGGTATATATCGGGTATAATCCTGAATGGGTCTTTCCCTATTGTTGGAGCAGTTAGTTACATTTCACTTAATAAGATTTATTCTAGGAAAATATCTGCATTAAATTCATAACACAACTGGCTATTGTATTGAAGTAGGATGTTTAACTCGGTCGGTGAATGGATGATAGGGATATTATCAATATTAACAACGAATAGAATTCGAAATACGACTTGGTGCATAGAATATTTGCATGTTTGCTTTTCAACTTGTTTATTTATTCATTATTTCATTTATTTCTATTGGTACATATCGGTTACTATAGTTTTAGTCAAATGCCTCCCAATCACTCCAATTACTCCCAACTGAACGTTAACACAAGGCCTATGAAATATTCATGCTTAATATAGGATATTACAATCAGGAAATCCCGTCAGGATGGTTGGACGGTAAATTGAGGATTACAGGATGTACGGAGACAGGACTTCATTAGCTCATAAGATTGCAATATCCTCCATTCAGTATAAATATACGTTTTTGCATTTGCAACGAGTATTCGTCAATTTGTTACGGCAGAATCCTCTCATTAATGTATGAGGATTTTTTATTCGAAGAGGAACTCGCATAAAAAAAATCCCTACCGCAGTTACAGAAGCAACCGTCAAAGTGATTATCGAGGGAGAAGCAGATTCGCCCTGAATCCTAATCCTCTCGCGTACATCAACAAAAACGAGACGAGAATTGGAAATTAACAATCTCGAGATTAATGTAGCGCCTTGAATGGCGTCTTGTTCATTTTTACCGAACGATCTTATTTTTCTTGTTGTTTTTTTTCTCCAGACGCTATTTCCGAATTAGGCCTCGATGAAATGCTTCCTCCTCAGGGGTTATTCGTCAAATTACGCCGTTAAGGATGGTAATTGAATGTGTTTACTGTGCAATTGGGGGCTTATAATGTATCTACTGAAATTTTGATGAATTATTTTTTGTACGATTGCATATATTGACAATCAGTCGGAAAATGGTATTAATTTTTGCTATAAATATCCTAATGAAACAATTAAATCGAGTAACAGGGAACATTCAAATACTCTCATCAAACATTCGCTACTTGTTTGTTTGTAATCAATGTGGTTAAAATTTCATTTTAATTTCGTTTCTGTTATCGGATTATTCTATTTTGGTTTTTTGCTGTTAGATGCCTAATTGTAAAATAGCGCTGTATAAGCGAAATAAATGTGTTTTGTTGAAATGTCTGTGCAGTTGTGCACTTCTTTTGTAAGTGCAGATGCATTTTACGCAAAGTGACGTACACCCCGGAGAGCGTTATTACAGCAAAAAAGAAAAAGTAACAACATTTGAATCTATTCAGACTTCAATTTGAAGTTTCATTGTAGTTGTACATTCGGAAGGATTTGTCATTTTGGCTAAAGGACGACATTGGAATCGATTTCTATACCTCCATTCCGAACGGGAATCTACTAAGCTGGCATTTTCGACGAAAATCTAAACAAATCGCATTTCCCTTCTTTCCAATTTCCATCGCAGCTTTCCTCCATAAACTTGCATAAATCCCATCAACTATTTAGTAAAATATAATTACGAAAACCGTCCGTCTTGCTTAACAAACTTCCAGACATTAACACCTCCTCGGCTCCGGCAAGTTTACCTCTCCGACAGGACGTCTACTTCCTCGAAATTTTCACAACTTTATTCGCTAGGTGTCCATCCACATTTGAAAATTGAATCAACAATTCTCGGTATCAATTTAAATAAATCAGAATTTCAGATTGTCGGAATTAATTTCAAATCTCTCCATATCGCCATATCGGATTCCGGATTCGAAATTATTTGCAAGAATTTTTGATACTTCTGCATAGGAAATTTCGTATACTGCCGCTTCCGAAGCAGTAAATAATGGACAATGGGAGACCAATTGAGACATAAAAACATTCGATGGGAAAAGTTCCATCGACTGCCTCCAGTCCAGAGGATAGAAGATTTGGTCTGAGGTGTTCATCAATAAAAGATGCCCGAGTGAAACAAAAGGGAATTTCTGACGGAAATGGAGGCTCGATATTTCGATTGGAGTTACAAACGTTCCGCAGTTGTTTCCACTGCTGGAGAGCGTATTTACTTTGTCAAATTCATTTCCTTGGAATCCATTTCTGTTAGCTAGTCTTACGGAAGAAATGGAATTTCCTTCGGTCTATAATTTATTTGAAAAAGAAAAATCTTTTTAATGTAACGGCGCTTAGGTTATATTTCGACCACTTATCTTGGAAACAAGGTCAATCGAATTCGTGCAGGAAAATTTTTAAGATGATGAATATTCAAACAAGCGATTATTTCGCACACAAAAAGTTGTTAAGGCTTTTTCGGCAACGCTTAGCTAATTTGTTAATTTCGAATTTAAAAAAAAGCGTCGTCTTAGAAGAGGTTGAGTAAATAAATTGCGCTGATGGTTGCTTTTCACCTAATTTCATTTTCATCAAACATTTGGGCTGTAACTTCTAATGGCTTTCCCTAACTCACTTAACCTTTTAGAATTAGTTTTGCGGCAAACGCAGAAGCACTGATTGTTTCACCAAGTAATTTCCCAACAGAAGAAATTATTCATTAAAGTTCGTCGTCTAACTTTACTACAACGTCCTTTCGTAAAAACAAACAATTTAGATAATGGAATGTACTTACCTACTTACCATTAGTTGATTATTTAACAATTGCTGTTAGTTTTTCTAATGGATTAATTAAATGAAATGCGTTTTTTACGTTACGAAGTTCTATTTCTACTATTAATTATAATTAAATGACTTGTTAATTATCCAATTTTTCTAAATCGATCCATATACCTTCGTCACATTTAACAGGAAGGCATTTTCTGGTTAGCTCTAACGGTAATTTCGTTTTTTCATTAAGACGTAATTTATATTTTTTTAACAAAGTCGTCAAACCTATTTTGATTTCTTCTATGGCGAAACGCATACCTAAAAAGAAAACAATCAGGCGAAAAGACAGAAAAAAATTAAAGTTCAAACCTATACAAACTCTATGGCCCTCGCCAAAAGGCAACCACTGGTAAGATGATTTAATTCTTTTATTTTTCGAATCGAATCTCTCCGGCACGAATTCATCTGGATTCTGATAATACTCGGGATCATAATGGATCCCGGAAACTGGTATAAATACAGATGTTCCTTTCTCAATTACTAACTCTTCTCCAGGTATTTTGAAATCTTTTGTGCATTTCCTTAATAAAAGCGGAAAGTTGGGATATTTACGAAATGATTCTGGAAAGTAAAATATTTAATTTACGAGGAGTAAATGTTGGAGTTAGGTGTAAATATCTTTTAGGATTACATTTTATACTACAGGATACCTTGGATTACTTGGTTCATGTAATGCAGTTCCTGCATAGCCTCGTATGTTATCTCATTATTGTGTTTATTCATTACTGAATTAATTTCTTCTCTTAATAGATCTTGGATTTTCTGGTTTTTGGCGATTTCGAATGTGAGAAAATTCAGAGCTGTGGAAAAATTATCGAATCCACCTATGTAAAATATAAAACATTGTCCTATAACTTCCTGGGGTGTTAATCTTTTAGATTCATCTTTGCTGTTTTTCGCTTCTATCAATAAGTCGAGGTAATCGTTTCTGAAGATATTATTTTCTTCTCTATGTTTGACGTTCGATGTGATTGTGTTGCAGTAAAATTTGGAAGCCCTGTTGTCAAATTGCGTGAAACCGAAATATCGCAGAATATCGTGATTCAGCATTAATGAAATGGCGAATTTGAAATTGTTCCACCCGGGTTCCATTATTTTATCGCCGTTTATCTTGAATTCCGAAACTTTCGTTTCATTCATACTGTTTATTCTTTGACCGAAAGCCAGTGAACCTACGAACAATAGCATTTTAATTACATCGTTTATTCCAAAAGTATAAAACGTACCAATTACGTCGATTGCGTAAAAGGACATAATTTCTTTAAAGTTAACCGGGTTCGATTTTAAACGTTTCTCCAACAATGCATCCAAGTCGTCGGCAAAATGAGTTAAGGTTTCGTACATACTTTTGATCTTAATAGGCGTGAAAATTGGCGTGACTTTCGATCGAATTTCCCTCCAACGTGGACCGTCCAAATTAAAAATATTCACCGAAACTGGTTCGGTTTTTTCGTTGTAGTAGAAACCGTGACTGTAAAAATTCTCGAAATTGTTTTTAAGAATCGCTTTGGTCAATTCCAAATCAATCGGAACAAATACCGGAGAACCAAACATGTATATTCCGAAATAACGAGCTCCTAAAAATTACTGCAATTGACAATGGGTTATATTTACCTTCGAGGGTATTTACCTTGCGATTTAAATTCCAAATAAGTATCTTTAAACCAACCGAACACTGTTGTTCTACCTAAAAATATATCCTTCATGTTGCCGAAAAAATATACACTTTTTGGAGATAGAACGCCTCTTCTTTTCCAGTACCCCAACATCCGAACATGCTTGGCTATGATAATTACCAAGATAGTTATAATTAAACATAGAATGTCCCATTTTATGCTATTTGTAATCAACATTACGCTAAACAAATCGAGAAAATTAAACTTGTAAAATCAATTCATTACCACATTTTACCCTTTAACAATGCTGGCTGGTTTTATTTTTATGCACAATTACACCCAATCAAAGTTGGGAATAAACTAATAGAACTTGCAGTAATAAATAGGTTTTATAAAAAAATAATTGAATAATTGAGGATTTAAGTAATATTCAAACTCATAAAATTAAATTCGCATAAGCACTCTTTTAATTACATAATTATATTTACTATGTTTAAGTTATTATTTCTGTTGAAATATAGCATCTTGAATTTGAAGTTGACAATCATTACTTCTTAAAACTTTACGTTCTCGTTTGTTTCATTTTTAAGAAGTGTTAATAAAATTAACTTTAATTTAATTACACTTTAAATATTACGCGACAGGTATTAGTTGCTTTCGGAAGAGTTCATTTTTTCAAATTTATCGCGACAGTTATCGTTGAAGTTTTTACATTATCGTAAGTGAATTACTTCCTTATTCATAACGTTTCAGGGCAAAAAAATTGGCGGAATTGTTATTGATATTTACTGCAATGTTAATGCAAAAATGGGGTATTTGGTGTCAATTAATTATGAGTAACCGCAAGATCTCAAATTTTTATTCTTATACCTATTATTCTTTCCACTTTTTCATACTTTTTTATCGACCCTTTTAAATGGGGAGTGTACTTATGTTAGTACTTTTTATCAATCTACCTCTAATTTTTAATTTCCATTATGAGTTTCCGAAGACTGGTTCATATCATGTTCGCCATGGGCGATAAATAAATTTGATGCATTCAACTCGACTCGACTCTCGAAAAAATCATAAAATCGATCGGGTTCCCAATAATGAAATTGTCAAGTTAGAGATGACGACCTAATTACATCTTGCATTTTAAGTCTTCCATCGATATTCGTTTTAGAAATAGCCTTATCACATTTGAACTTTCGGATAAAATAAGTTCTACAGTATAATTACATTGGAGAGGCAAGAGTAGAATTTATATTGAATAATTGGTTTATTCGAAATTCTAATTTATTCCTACCTATGTACGTTTTTATGGAGATTAAAGCTCTGCGCATATCTTTTTCAATTCGGTAGGTTAGGCAGAAAAATTTTTATTAATAAGATTATACCTTAAAATTTGAAAATAACGCCGAACTGGAGTTTAAAAGTTAATTATCGACGGATGATTCGATGAGTTTAGAATCCATAAAGGAACGAGCGAAAGCAAATTCCGCGTAAAGATGAAGGTTTTGATAATTAAGGAAGTTTATTTTGTATTCCACTCTATTGAATTTTATTGGGTTAAAGAAATTTTCGAATGGAAACTTTTAATTATCCTAAGTACAGTTGTGTGAACATGTAATGAAGTTCAAATTAACACTGATAAAAAATGTAAATTTGCAAAAATTCATTAAACGAAAGAAATTTAACAAGCCAACTTGAAATATTCAGCCGAAATCCGCATAGAACTGTCAGGAAAAGGAACAACTATTTTTCAAAAGGGTTATTCGCATTCGAAGCCGGAAATTCCTCTGCGTAATTCCAACAAAACACCTTTCCTCGTTAACTTGGTTTTAATCTACAAGTAGTCTGTTAATTAAAGGAAAACGTTCTTTGCCGTGCTATTCATTACTCGGGGATATATACCTGCCTGTTTGAGTATGTCATTCGTTTGTCAAAAAGATTTCTAATTTGGTACGAGACGTAATACTAACGAGTAAGTACGTGAGAAACGAGTGGAATATACTCGTTAAAATAATAAAGAAATCCTGCATTCCATATCGAGAGAAACCTTGTATAATACAATGTAATGCAATGAGTATGCGTCGACGCGTGGTTTGAGCTTCCATCGATAACTGACTCAAATTCTATTAAAAATATTTGCAAAACTTATTATAAACATGTCAATATCATTGGAAGTGTTGATATTAAATAAATATTAATTTTCTTATCTTGACTTTATTCAGTTTTTATAGAATTTCAAGCAAGTAAGAATTATTAGCAGTGTTAGAATAATTTGCGATGAATTTAAAATTCATCTGAAAGCACCGATGTGTAACGGAAACTCCGTCCCTGCATTTATTCATTACACAGCCGAGCTATAGCTGTAAACGTAGGTACACCTCATCGTCAGGGGTGCATAGAAAAGGCAGCCACGTACATTAATAAATCTCGCACCGACGTCGACATCACCTTCAGAATTCCTCAACTTTATTGAACTGCGGATCAATTCGGGAACTTTCTGGTGATTTTAAGTATTGAAAGCACCTTTCCGCATACTTGCAGGGCCTTAGTATATTCGGTGCTCCCCTCTTGGGAAATTCGGGAGATATATCAATTTCACTCGATTTTATTTCAATACTGCTATCTCCACTACAATGCAGAATCTGTTCCCCTTGTGCGCTTCACGGCGAAGGAAGCGAATAAAATTTTTGAATACTTATATAATACTAAATATATTTAATATATTATTATTGTATACTATGTTCTAGATTCAATTGAGTATCTCTAAATTCTTAAATTTTTTATTGGTAACAATTACCTAATCGCTATCATTTATATTCTTTCACTCCCGTCCATCATAAAATAAATTAGGCCGAATATTCCTTTTTATAGCCCTCCATCGGAGTTAATAGCTATAGGCTCTAACGACGTGATTGTAAAATAAAATTCACAGCAGACGTCTTTAATCCCCGCTTCTCTCTAAAACCGCCTGCGAAATTTTGTATACACTTAAATTGTTTGTTGTATACGGAGCATCCATCCTGGATTTTTTTTTATTTTTCGCGAAACCGACATTTACTCCTAAATTAGCCCCGAGACAACAAGCGAAAAGAGCGCGGGGTATCAGACCGAAATGAAAGATTGAGATAGTGGTTTTATTTTATCGCGAGCGCTAAGAACGAGCTCGCCGAGCGCCTCTGAACAAACTGTTTCGAGCGATGCGAGCTATGCCATACTCTAGCTATGACTTTTGTTTGTTTAATTTCCACAAAAGAAAACCGAGAACTTTATATTCGCATAAATTGGTCGGTTCGTTACCGGCGGACTTTAATACAACTTCTGATATTTTTAATTTAGAAAATACAAAAGGGAAGCAAGTCTTCCGGAATGGATTTCGGAAAGTGTTTATTTGTTCGTTTATTTCCGCGGAACGTTCCGTAATCGAGTATGAAATCTCAATTATCTCGAAGATTTATGTTTTGTATTAAGCTAGTGCGCAGTTGAATTGCTTTTTCATTGGCTTTTTTCGCTATACATAAATCTGATGTAGTGTCCATTCGGGAGGACATGAAACAATTTGTTGGGATAAATATTACTTTATTTACGTCCAATTTTTCTTGCTGGATCATGTCGTGTCCAATTTAGCAATATCTACAATCATCCTATAGCATTGTGTAGTTATTGTACCTATAACAAAATAGTAGAGTTGAATTTACTCCAAGAAAATACTGATTTTCATATTTTACAATAACATACATACCTATGCATAAAAGGGTTCATTTTGATGGCTATAGGAAGCAAACTCTTGTAAAAGCTGATGCTTCAAGTCAAAACTCTTGCATCCCATGAAACCTATAAGGTATTTATATTGGCTTTTACGGTTACTATTACATCAAAATGTGATCGATATAAAATTATATGACTGTGGCATACATTTTACTTTGTCGTAGGTACATCGAGAACAACTCTTATTCTTTGTATACTATTGCTGATAATATTTGTTCATATGCAAATGCATAGAACTTTTTTTTTGAAGTTAATTGTGGTTCATTTGTGTCACACGGGAAATTCGAAATAAATTAAATGCGTAGGCTTATATCAAATCAAAGCTCTCTAAGCTATTTAAACTTTCGATGCAGTGCATTCATGCTCGATGTAAAGTGTATAATAATAATGATAACTAGTTTGGATATGGAACTAGCTGCCAAATAAATCGATAGTATTATTATTTAGCCTGAAATTGACGCATTAAAAATGAACTATAAATAAATTATGCTTAATTAACTAGGTATGTTTTTAATGGTTTGTAATTATTTTATTATCTATAATTATAATTCATAATTCATGGCATTTTATCGATTTTATTCGCATGAAAACCTTTTATTTTTAATTGCATTATTAAATTAATGCGATTTGTTAGTTCTATTATTTATTTACTGTAAAAAATACAGAGTCAGGGCTCTAAATAAATTTTAATTTGCGCCCGAACAGCAACCATCTTGAAACTCGAAATTAAACGGACTGTTAGTAAAATTTATCTGTCCAGATTAAGCCGGTTCTTGCAGATAAAACAACCGCAATATAGCCATAAAATCCCCCCTCGTTTCTGTAAAAACTTTCCGTTTCTGTTTCGCCGCTTCGAAAGTAGAAAAAAATATATAATAATAGAGCCCACATTTGTCTCCTTTATTATCCCACTGTTGATGTTTCATTTCCCTCAAGCCCGCTTGTTTAACTTAAAATTTGTATGTATACGTCGCACATAAACGCATTCTTTATCAACAAATTCTATAAAATTCGTCCCACTCGAACAATAATTCTCTAACAACAACATTAATGCAAATATATGCAGGTTGTGCCGCTCCGGTTTTACCATACAAAAGATCAAGTTGGATTCGACAATGCTATATAGGCCCACTGAATGCTTATACGAAATCCTGCTGTACTTCTTTCATAAAGTTATTGCACCGGTATTGCATAATTTATGTTGCAGAAGTAGTTGACATTTATTCTGTATGTATTAAAAATTTATATTTACCTTCGTAGGAAATGATAAAAAATTGTTTTCAATTGAATAATTTAAATGTGCTAATACATTTTTAAAGATTCTTTAAGGACGTTAGTTTCATATAATTACGTCCGTCAATCTAGTATGTAATTTTCACGTAATCTTCTTCAGTAATTTTTCCTCCCTCGAATTTTATCACATAATTCTAAGGGTGTGGCAAAATAGCATTCGTTTTTTAACAATATGCAATATAACGACTCGTTAGGAAATGCCATAAGGCGTATTTCATAGTAAAAAATCCGAGGCGTTAGCGCCAGCGCCGCATGCGAGTCCAAAATAAGGCAATCTCGTTTACGTTAAGCAGCTATAAATTTTAGGGAACTGCCATAAAGGTGGAAATCCGTCGAGACGCATCAAATAAGTTATTTGGCATCATCCGCAAGGACCCCCCGGGGGTCCGGCCCGAAATGGCTGCGGTGTTAGGACTTTGCGGGAGTTTCTGTGGGAATTGTACACCTTGACCGGGGCCCGCTATCTTTGCGAATCTTGATGATATACGACGAAGGTGCTCTGCGATATGTTTGGAATCGATTTGCTTTTAAAGAAAACACAATGCTATATTTCACAATGGGTTGGTATGTGGGGATAATTTTTATCAAAAATGCAGGAAATAAATTTAAATTCGACGTTTTTAATGTAGTAAATGCGTAACAACAATCTTGAGATATTTTGGAATTTGCGGTTAACTGATTAATCTGTTAAAAACTTTGAATTAAATTGTGTTATATCCTGACATCTATTAGAATGGTCCTGGCCAGTCGCGATTCGGTTTGTCACAAGTTAGTTTCCTGGTTTGCGACAAATCTCTAAAAAATTTCGCAGATTTCTTGGGTTTTCTTGTTTTATTAGGATCTGTTATGTTGATGTTGTAGAATCCAAAATGGCTTCTGAGAATGCGACTTTTTACAGAAAATTCTAAAGATTTGAATAACTACTACTTACTTGTAACCATTAGACCATTCGAAACTGTCCATAAGGCTCCAAGCTATTACTCCTGTCACATTAACCTCGTCTTCGTATACTGCAGATAATATATTGCATATGTAGTCCTAAAATCATTAATTTTATGTAGAGAAATATTTTTACATCTCGTTTTGACTAACAGTGAAGAAATCGATTCTAATGTTATCGTTTAGTGAACTACCATCTTCAGTCACGCCGAGTTCAGTTATTAATATCTCGTGATCTCCGTAATTTTTCTTTATCCAGTTCAACACTTTTCGAACTCCATCGGGCACGATCTATAAACATTTTCATTAAATTATGAGAACAAAACAATAAATAAATAATGTTTAATAATTATTACCGAGAACAGTCCATTATTTTCTACAATCCAAGACGGTTTGAATGAATTTACAGTCCCGACATCGTTTCCATAACTCATTACATTCGGGTCGCTTTCTTTTAAATCTTCCGCCAAAGCCGTGTAGTAATGGTTAAGTCCAATGAAATCGGCACTGCCTTTTATGTATTCGATTTCCTCCGGCGTGAATTTTGGCAAACGAGGTTCCTTTATATGTGCCTTTAAACGTCTGCTTTCAATCCTCTCTTTGACTATGGGAGGCCAATCGCCAATGAATATAGGATGATAGTACATTCCACATTTGAATTCTCTTTGTCTATTAGCTGCCTCTTCATCTTCCTTAGAATTAGACTTGGGTTCGATCCATTGGCAATCTAATGCTGGCGCCATTTTTGCTACAAATTTTATTTTAACGATATTATCCTGTAATTATTTCGATGCTTACCTTTGTAATGAGGAAATTCTTTCTTATACATGCGGTAAATTGCGCCGATTGATTTGAGAGTTAAGTAGGCACACATGTATTCCTGTTTTCCATCCCCTTTTATACCAGGAGCTAGTACTCCTATGCTATATCCTAAATGACACAACGTGTGAGGTTCGTTAATAGAAACCCATATGCCGACTTCGGGAAAAGTTTTGATAACATATCTGGCGTAATCAACAATGTGATTAACAATTCCGGGGTGGTTCCAATCGATGCCATCATTGTACAATTGCAACGGTAGATCCCAATGATAGATAGTCCCTACAGGGATCATATCATACTTCAGTATTTCTCTAATAAAGTTTTTGTAAAATTTGACACCATGTGGGTTGATGGTGGTGTTGTAACCGTTGGGGAAAATCCTGAAAATGTCTTACTAATTATACAATTCATCGAATGATTTGTGGAAACTTGAGTAGTACCTGGGCCAAGAAAAAGAGAATCTGAATAATTTTATGCCTAAAGATGAAGCTAAAGCTATATCTTCTTTGTATCTGTGATAAGTGTCGATCGTCACATCGGCATTTGAGTGGTCTATTATACGTTCCGGGTGCTTATGGGCGAATTCATCCCAAATACTGGGGCCTTTTCCATCCAAGTTCCATGCCCCTTCTACTTGATATGCTGACGTTCCTGCTCCCAATAAAAAATGTTTCGGAAAATGACCATTGTGTTTTTTCGGAGTCTGCTCTGATAGTGAGCTGAAATTTATATTTGAAGAAAAGTGGAGAGTGAAGAAGATCAGTTTTATAAAATTCGTAAGGTTACATGCATTTGACTACAAATGTATCCGCGTAAAAAAAATAAAAAGAAAAAAAAGAGAAAATAAAAAACTTAATTTTCTTACCAAATAGTTAAAACTAGTATCGTAAAACGCATGGAAAATGCCATGTTGTTCGTGTTTTTGAGAACTTTTCAGTGTTTTTCTATCTATACATACATGTTAGATGCCGATTTTTTCAATGTGAAAGTAAAGTTTGTCCAGTATAAGAATTTAAACCATTATTGCCTATGGTACCTACTAATAAAACTATACATATAATAATTAATAAATATATATAAAAGCGAAATGAAAGTACCAGTACATGCAGTTAAAAACAATTTATTGTAGGCATAAAGATTAATGCATTTTTAAAATCCTTAATTACGAAATGCTTATGTTTATTTTTAATTACTAATATTACGTATACAGCATATTTGGAATATAATATTGTGCTTTACTGATCTAATATTTCATTTACTTTATTAATCGGTTATACACTATGTATAGTTTATCAATTATCTTGAGCAATTTTCAATGTTTGTTCCACCTAAACTCTATTTATGCCATTGCAACGCGGTTTTCCTGGTTTCCACTTATGAGGTCCTGGCCAATGACGTCTTGGTTTATCGCATTTTAATTTTCTGGTTTGTGTCATTTGTTTGAAAAATCCGGCAGATTTCTTGGGTGTCCTTGTTTTGTTAGGATCGCTCATATCGATGTGATATATTCCAAAATGCGATCTACAAATTAGATTTTAAGGAATGATGTTAAAATAATTTACATCGACTTACGTATAGCCGGATTGCCATTCGTAGCTGTCTAAATGACTCCATGCTAATACCCCTTTAACATTAATTCCGTCCTCATACACTGAAGCTAGTATGTTGCATAAGTAGTCCTAAAATTAGTAGGTAACACAGTAAATTATATTTGGTTCTTCCTTATACATATGTAATCACAATAAATATTTATAAGCTTATCAGGAGAGACTTACATGGTAAAAATCAATTCTTATATCATCTTCTAATGAAGTTCCATCTTCTGTCATACCGAGTTCCGTGAATAATATTTCATGATCTCCATAACTCTTCTTCAACCATCTTAGTAGACCTCGAACACCTTTAGGTACGATCTGCCACAGATTATAAATTATTAGGTGAAATGTATAATTAAAATGTTTAATTGGTATTACCGCAAAGAATCCATTATTTTCTACAATCCAAGAGGGATGGAACGAATTTACAGTCCCGACATCGTTACTGTAACTCATAACATTCGGGTCGGTTTCATTTAAATTTTCCGCCAAAATTGTGAAGTAATGGTTAAGTCCAATGAAATCGGCACTGCCTTTTATGTTTTCGATTTCCTCTTGTGTAAATTGGGGTAAACGGGGTTCCGATATGTTTGCTCTTAAACGTCTACCTTCCACTCTTTCTTTGAGAAGTTGAGGCCAATCTCCAACGAATATGGGATGATAGTACATGCCACATTCGAATTGTCTTTGTCTATTAGCTGCCTCTTCATCTTCCCGAGTATTAGACTTGGGTATGATCCATTGGCAATCTAATGCTGGCGCCATTTTTGCTACAAATTTCATTTTAACCATATTATCCTCTAATTATTCTGATGCTTACCTTTGTAATGAGGAAATTCCTTCTTATACATGCGGTAAATAGCACCGATTGATTTGAGTGTTAAGTAGGCACACATGTATTCCTGTTGTCCATTGCCTCTTATACCAGGAGCTCCTGCTCCTAAGCCATATCCCAGATGGCACAACATGTGAGGTTCGTTTATAGAAACCCATACGCCGACTTCTGGAAAAGTTTTGATAACATATCTAGCGTAATCAACTATGTGGTTAACAATTCCGGGGTGGTTCCAATCGATGCCATCATTGTACAATTGCAACGGTAGGTCCCAATGATAGATAGTCCCTACAGGGATCATATCATACTTCAGTATTTCGCCAATAAAATTTTTGTAAAATTTGACTCCTTGTTGGTTGACAGTGGTGTTCGTGTAACCGGTCGGGAAAATTCTTGAAAGATTCAAATTGAATATTAATTAAACAACAAGTGTGTTAATAAAATTACCTAGTCCAAGCGAATGAAAATCTGAACATTTTAACACCTAGAGCTGCTGCTAAAGCGATATCTTCTTTGTATCTATGATACGAGTCGATTGTTACATCGGCATTTGTATGGTCTATTATACGCTCCGGATACCTATGAGTATAATCATCCCAAATACTAGGGCCCTTTCCGTCCAAGTTCCATGCTCCTTCGATTTGGTAGGAAGCAGTTGCTACTCCTAATTCAAAGCCTTTTGGGAAACGGCCATTGTTTTTTCTCGATAAACCCGATACTGAGCTAAAATTTGTTATTACGATTGTTTAATGCTTATATAAAATTAGTTACAAATTAGCAATTTGATTTTTATAATGTCCTTACCAAAAAAGTAAAACAAGTACCGATAAACGCACGTAAACACCCATGATGTACGTGTGAATAGGGATTTTTTTGACACCACGATAACATATATACTTCCAAAAACATTTAAAATTCTAAATACACCTAATATATTATTAATTTATAAGAAAATGTAATTTTTTAGAACTAATTAGTTTGGATTTAAAAGTTAAATTTTCTAATTTATTGACTATTGTTTTTATAATATAATTTTTCTCGTCATAAATATTTAGTTTGGCCATATTACTGTAATTATTTCATTGAGATTGAATCAACAAAATAATGCAATGAATGTTGTAGTAAATAAAACTGGAGTAATTTTAAAATCTTTAATTAACTTTTGGATACATTTTTATAAAGTATTTTCTTTTTCTTTTTTTTTAGAGACAAAATCTTTTATTCACATAAATTATTCACAAATATACAGTTACTATAAATATTTATGTACATACTAGGTAGTGTACCGAATTATTGTCGATTTATTAGTCGATACAGCAGATACCAATCTAACATTAATATTGTGTATTAAAACGCTTTGAATAAATGATGGAAATGTTTCTTATTAATAATCTTTGTGAATAATTGTTTATAAGTACTGGAAAACTCCTAATTTCCCTTATTCAGTGTTTCCTGAAAAAAAGTCTGACTAATTTATGAATGATTAATGAAATTTATGATAAAATTAAATATTAATTTTATTTGTTTTTTGTCCAAAAAACTGAAACAAGTACCGATAAATATTACATTTTATATAGGGTGACTCAGAGTAGAATTCGGTTTTCAAACGTGCCTTGTGCAACCGTTTAAAAAGTTTTTGAGGCGTACACTGGCAATTTGTGGTGAATATACAATGTGTCTAAGGTCGAGCGCTACATTCGAAAGCGAAAGATTCATATGTATGTAGTTGCAATTCGACGTTTTTGCAACCATCACAATATTCGGCGTATACGTAATGCTCCCGGTGACAAATTTAGTATAATCGGGGTTCAAAATTTTCGACAAACAAGTTTCTTGGTAAATCGGAAGCAGCCAGGGCAACGGAAGTCCACTAAAATGACTAAGAACATTGAGCGCCTCGATTTTCCAGTCGCAGAACGTCGTCAATACCAATGTTCAAAAACCGAATTTTACTCTGAGTCACCCTGTACATTAGTATGTAAGAAGGTATTCTACCAGAAAAATTATAATTTCAATTATTTGCATTTTCTTAGTGTCAATTGATTTCGATTTACAAGTTAAATTACCAATTAAATTCTGTTAATTAATATTCATTAGCTGTTCCAAACCTATTTAAACAAATACAGGCCATGATAACATTGATAATATTGAATGCCATTTTTTTTAAATTAATTCCACCAAAATTTCATGTAAATCGTTAAAAATATGACGGAATAGGTAGTTCTATTTTCGCAAACCTTAATAAGATTCCAATATATGTATGTATGTTTTGTTAATTAGATATATTCAACTATAAACATTATCTATTCTACAGACAAATTTATTGCAAATTATTGAGTATTGTATAAGTACATACCTAATAATATAAAATTTTACTCGATAGTGGGACAAATGGAATTAATCAATGTAAAACTAAACAGAAATTTTCAAATATAGAAACTAATATCCCGATTAAATGAGATAGATGCTTATTGATGCTTTTTGTATTTAAACATACTTTAGTTAACCAATGAATTATTTGGATTATTTTAGAAGCATTAGGCACCTATTATTTCGTTCCATCAATAATTACGAATAATTCGACTAAAGGTATCTATTTGTATCATTCCGCGATCAATTTTCTAATCAATTTTACCAACGCCGAACCGAAACGTATTCAAATTCTATTATTCCGCAACTGAAACAAGCCAACGATTCGGTAAGTGTAAGCAATAATTTATGCAAATTTATTATACGGCGGTCCCAACATTCATTACAAACGTTCAAAATATGTGTCGCTGGTTTCAGCAATTAGTGTTTGTTGTAAATGGAATGAAATTACGGTAATCTATCAAGAGTCTGGTTTTGCTTCCCTTTCCTTACCCAGATCCGAAGGGAACTAGATATTGAAATTAATTCGGCCGCGGACCACGTGATTAAGAGCAAGTGAGGTGTACCGACCAACTTTACTTTCCTGTATTAATTTAGTACGGAATTCATAGCGCGGTAAAGAGAGAAATTACTGCTTAAATTAGGTCAAATCCAGACATACTTCCTGTAATAACGACATCATCCTTAACCTCTCTCCACCTAACCAATTTTTAAAAATTAAGGACATGTAACGAGCTCCTGCTAATCTGGTTTTATTGAGCTACTTAAAATATTGCAGTGTTGTCAAATTATCACGTATTTCCTACAGGTTCAAGGTATTAAATATAGTACTAGTGATAATTTGCGCCAAAGAAATGAAAATGTATGAATCACCAGATTGACCAGATTATTTCGAGACAAATTCACTTCGAGACATGTTTAGAGGCGACTAATAATTTCTCTACTGCGTCCATGTTTTGATGTACGGTCGTTCAGAAGTTGCGATGCTTCCAATTCATCACACGGAATGACTTTATTTAGCCAGCGTTTACTATGGTATTATTAATTTTTTTCGACGAAACTGTAGGAAACTTAAATCGTAGTTTGGTAATGGAATCGTCGCCTCGACTCGTGTTCCAAGTTCAACGTTGAGAAAAGTGTCGCATAAATTTCTGAGAAATTGGTGGTAGTAGTTCGCGGTATATGGACTCGGTTTTAATTAACTTCTGTGTATTTATCAGAAAGGAACAATCGAATTTTCCAGTCGCAAGTTCCTTCTTCTTAGTTATATATAGCCTTTTCTCCGGGAAACTTTTCAATTTCATTCCCTGTATAGTTCACGTTGGCGAAATAATATTATCATTTTCTTGTTACAATTTTCTTCACAAATGAATCGCATGAAATATTCTATTACTCTACAGTTGTATTAAATTTCCTCTTCAAATCGACAACTGTTACCTTTTAGTAAGTAACTTCTGTAACCATTAGTAGTTACTTGTAGCTCTTAACTTGTACTAAAAATTTTATTATAAAGTTAAACTTCATTCATTGGAATTGAAAAATGTTGAAAGAATATTCAAATTCGATACGAAAATATTCAAATCGAGCTCTTTAACGAGTGCTAATCCTCCGGGATCCGGAATATGCATAATCTAAACGCCCGACATTTCCGCGCCGGTATAATAATAAGTTAGCAAAGCGTTTCGAAACATTTTGTCTTTCTCCCTCCATCACCAGCGGTGTTTACCGTGGATGACTGACTACTCTCTTATCGTCTTTTGAATTAAACAAACAATTCAACAACTACTAGGAACTACTTGCGAAATTCAAATCTGCCGGCGTTCGTGCCGACAAAGATTCTGTTTAATACATATAACTCGGGCGAGCTTGATGAGGCAAACCTCATTACATTTCTCTTCTGCGGGTAGCGCGAAATGAAGATATTTTTAACATCAACATATATTAAGTTAAATGAATTTTATATTAATATGTAGTTTAATGAAGCGCTGCGTTCTCTTGCTGCTAAATGTAACTTTGAAACGTTATACTAAACTCGTTTTCTTCTAGCGTTTTTGGGTGTATAAGGGGTATGTATGATGCATGAACTAAACCTTGTAAAGAAGTTAAAAGAGCTGATAAGGGTAAATTGAATGAGAGGAGGGACTCGAGTGCCGTTATTAGATTGCGGCCGAATGGAACGAACTTTTTAAAAGGATTTTAGGTAGTTGATCAATTACCGCAGAAAAGTTTTCGGTAGGTACTCTTTTTTTAACGTTATAGTGCCGAACAGCAAATAACGCGCGCTCGGAGATTTTATCGATTAATTATTCAGAGCTTTCTTCATGCTATAGCACATGCTGGATTAACATGGGCGCTGGTAATTTTAAAAATTATATGTTTCACTTAAATTTCAATAATCACCGGTCGAAATGGGCATTTAAATTATTATTCGCATTCATTTCATTTCCATGAGTAATTTTTAATTTACACAAATCGTTACAATATTTACAAATTGAACCTTCGACGCGTTGTTTAAATAATAAACATACCTACCTGCGAATTTTCGCCGATAAAATGCTTATGGAAGCTAAATTAAAATGTTTTTTTTTAAATACAATCCAACCTCGATCACAATCCAATGACGTACAAATAGTTTTTAATATATTGTCTTATTTTTACCTCGGAACGAATTATGCATGCACAGCTTATACATGAAGGCATGCTGTAAGTGTAATGTTAAATTTACCAGTAGAGAGTCTGAATATAATTTTATTGCATAAAAATCACAGCTCTTGCACACCTACACCGACGTTAAAATCGCGGAATCGTCTTCGCTGTCGGGACATTACGTGCTCAAAGAAAGATGACTGCATTCGCAGTGATCCCGCTCTGAAGCGCTCGCTTCTTCGCTAAAAAATACGAAAACACCACTCGAGACTATTAGAAGAAGTGCAATCCGACCCCGGAATAGCTGTCTAGCACTAAAACTAGACCGCCTTAAATAATTTATAGAGTTCTCGGCCGATGTTATCTCTCTCGTGCGCTACATGTAAGCTGAATGCGAAATGAACGTTCTCCCCGTCTCGAAGAAAAGTTTCCTAGCAGAACTAATTCAGCGAAGGAAATGAATATTTATGATCTCTCTTCTTTTTTTTTCCTTGCGAAAAATTGTACAAACGTAAGATTCTTTAATGTAGTAATCTGTTTTTTAATAACTATAGCTTACGTTTTCCTACCTTCTTCCAATCGAAATAATCGAACAGTTAAATTGGATCATTAATTTCAATTCGTGATTTTGTAAAATTTATGTACCTATACAATTATTTACTGGTTTAACAATTTCAGAGCTTACAATATAGATCTGCTTCAACAGGGTAGTGATATAAAAACGAATAAAACAAAACACACCCCTACGACACTGTTCATTCGCAGGAAAACATACACTCGAATTGTCTCAATTTGCCGGAGTTTGTTCGGCATGAAACTTCGACGTTTTATCCGGGGCGCGACTTTCGACCGATTGCATTTACTGAAATTGTAGGCGAAACGAATCCAATTCCCTCTACGATACCGTATCCGCGATGCGGGCTGTTTATGTTCCTTCTTAGTTAATTTGCGTTGAATGCGAGAGAATTAGTCCAAGTTTATCGGGAAGTTAGAGGAATTGGCTGCGAATCGGTTTGAATTTAATCCGATTAGGTTCCCGTTTGAAGGGATTGTTCTCATTTTAAAACTTGTTTGTATTCTTTAAAGAAACTCTTACCTGTAGTAGTATTATTTTTTGTTACCTATTTGTGCTCTTATTCTTCGAGTTTCTATAGTAATAACATAACTTAAGAATTGTTAAACGAAGTTAGTAAGAAAGTAATACAATAATGGAACTAATTGGAATGAAATTTAGTATGATATCTAGTAAGTTAAAGTCCAATGAAGATTTTTTTATATAATAACTCGTATAATTTGGTTTAGGCCCGTTTGATACGCCGCTGTCGGTCTGTATAGCGCGGAATTATAATTCTAAAATAGAATTAACCCATTTGAGATATTACGCAACATAATTTAGTTATACAAACACAATTTGTTGCGTTTGCAATGTTTGAACAGGTCAGCATTTGAATCGAACCCGAACCCCCCGATCTCTATGAGCCGGGCATACGTAATTCGGGCTATAGAGTTCGGCATCGATTCGCCACATTTCACGAATTATTTTGTACGAGTAGCTTGATCCTCATTATGGCGGCGGCAATTTTCTGTACATTGTTTCTAGTTTTCACTTATACCGGCAAGTACTAACACATTTTTTACGTATACATAAATTTATCAGATATTTTTATAATGGGTTGAATATCAGCTGAAATTTTATCCTGTGGAACCAGTGCAGAATCTTTTAATAAATATTTGAACTAGAAGATTTGTTAAAGAGGAAGCCCGCTATCCCGTTTCGTGTAAACTTGGACGTAATACCGGTCATACTATCATAGCGGAATTCAAGACGTAGAACTTTCCAACAAACGGAAAATAACATTAGAGCGCCAGTAAATTCGCCGTAAAAGATTTTAAAAGCGGAATTTCTCCATACCTAGTCGAATCGAACTTTTCGAAATTGATCTAATTCTTCTGTATTGATGGGTTTTTTTGTTTGCAGGATCGTCGACGCGTTGCGCCGCCGCTCTCGCAGGAAGTTCCAATAAATTGTTCGGTTTCGATTGGCAATGTGACACTATTTGTTTAGGATCAGGTGGCAGAGCACGATTCGATGCCGAAAACAAAATATGTAAATGTACCATGGACAAAAACATTGACGGTGAGTATGCAAATAAAAACGAGATGAAAAGAAAAAAAAAGTGCAAATTTAGTTACGGGCGTGTATGTATTTTTTAAACCAACCAGTGGAGTGTGAACTAATTGCCTATGTATACTAACTTTTCGTTTTACTAAATCCAGAATAAATCTCACAGTTATAAGTTCTGGCGCAAATGATTGGCATTTGACACACGTCAAAATACCGTTTCGCTATTTTAGCGTAAACAGAGCTACACAAACAAGTTGTATTTTAACCGTCGTTTGAACATATAGACCGGGATTTCCATACGGGATCAAAGGTTATTTTCGAAAACTACTTTGCAAAAGTAAACATGCATTGACAAGTTTGTGTGAAAAAATCGCTTTACCCCTATGTAATGAGAGTATGCGTGTCGTGTTCATAATATGTAGTTTACTTTGCTCTGGTAAATATGCTGAATCGGGGCCCAGTCACGCAATTTTATTGACAGGGTCGGACTAGACTAATAATACGTAAATTGACCGCATTTGTCAACAGTTTGCGACGAACAATTCGAAAATTTAGTGAAATTTAGTTCACAATAGAATACTAAATAGGTGTATTTTTTCGTTTAATAGATGTTGATCTTCAATTGATGAAAAAGAATTCCGAAAATATGGGCATGCGGATAGTCGAATTCGAAGACAGGGCCAAACGTAATATTCATACCGCAGATATTTTGGATAACAACGATCGATTAAGTTTGAAGAAACTGCCAAAATTCGAAATCAAAAAATTCAAACCGTCTACTCGCAACGCTATGAAATTCAAAAAACCCTTGTTTAAACCGAAGAAGAAAATCGAATTACCATCAGCTAGGAAAGCAACTGCGTTTAAAGAGGATTCCGATCCGAAGAGGAGGTATTTGAATTTCATTTTTTTTTGTTTAATGGTCTTTTCCGTTATATTTCAATCAGTTTAGAATATAATCCTCTAATACCCGTTCCTTTCAATCTTGTTTCCTCATTGACCCGAAACGGGAACTAATCGATCAATTTAATAACGCAAGCATCTCTGCAGGGGAAACTTCCGAACCGACTCGTTTTTTTATATGAAACATTTTTATAGAGAAAATTAAAAATTCCCATTTCCAAGAATGTTTTTTATTTGTTTCAGGTTGAAAGAAATGCAAGATAAATTGAAAGAAAAACTGGACGGTCTGACGTGGAAATTGCCGAACATGAAGCAACGATCCGCGTTCAAGAAGGAAGCTGGTAAAAAACCAGCATTCGACTTGAAAAAAATCATCGAGGATCGCAAAGAAAAATGGGGTCTCAAACACGATGATACAGTAGCTCAACCCGCTCCGACTATAGCCAAAGAAGCTCCCGGTAAGTCTAAAATTTTTACCAAAGTGGCATTTTTTGGAGTTTTTTTTTTATAATTAATTACAGAGGAAAAGAAATCAATAAACAAATCACCTCTTTCAAACCTTCTAACAACCGACCTAAAATCAATTAGTAAATTTAGGGAGAGATCAGAGAAGAGAAAACAAAATAGTCCCGTAATTAAAAATTTACCTGAGCAGGAAAATGCAACGCAACCTCCCGGACAGCAGGAAAACAATGCACACGATAACGTAAAGTAATTAATATTTTATTTTTATTTTTATTTGATCATTACAGTTATAAAAAACTATAGTTTATTGAATTATTTTTCATTCAATATGTTCCTATGACATTCCCAGATGGCTAGATACATAGGTGTATTGCACGAGTTTTGTTGGGTTTTCAAATTTTAAATTCAAAAATTTCATATTACTCGCGGCATCTACAAATGGCCCTTTTAAATTCCAGCTGAAACTTAACGGGAACCAAAATCCGGGAAAATCAATATTCGGCAACTTTAAATTTCCCTCTGCAGATGGCGTTATTTCTGTTACACACAGAATATTTTCACATTGCCACACTTACCAGTTTCGTAACAATTTTTCTTCGGGGTGACTTTAGGAAATTTGGGGTAATAATATTTAAATAGGATATGGGGGTAATACGGTAATCGGGTGATAATATTAATACAACATTTGCGTTATATTTAACTTTATTAATTTATAATTCTTTTATAAAGTTTCATATAAACTGGATAGCTTTCCTGAGTAAATTCGAAACGGCGAATTGCGAAACAGACCTTTTGCTTGGTCAAAAATTTCATAATATAAATAAGTTACGTCGACCGGAGTCGAATTTATTAAGGAAATAGTTAGTAATAATAAATATAATAATAAATAGCGACATGATGATTTTATTAATTCCTTTTCGAAAAATGATTCTTCAATAAGAGATTTTTTTTGAGCGCTTATAATAAATAGCTCGTAATTCTATCATGTCTTGATAATAAAAAACATGCAAGTCGAGTACTTTCGATTAATTGATAATTTTCAGTTTAAGTTTATTTATAGCGTATTAGTTTTAGATAACTTCCTATTTAGAACAATTCTCCTATTAAATTTACAACAATATTGAGCGTCGGATTACATTTTTTTTATAAGAACTGCAAAATTTCATTATTTTTAGTTATGAATAGAAGTTATCAAAAATCAATTAATCAATTTTGAATACGAGGGCACTTATGTATGTAGTGTACATTTTTCTATATCGAAAGTATTCTGCCTGCGGCTAAATTTAAATATTTTGGACTGCAAAACTTCCCTAAATTGCGACGGGCATTTTTTTATAATACAATTATATACCTGATATATTAAAAGTTATATTGTAAAACTAATGATTCTTGCATTTAACATTACTGTATGAAATATTAAACACCAGCAAAATTGACAGTGTAAAAAAAATAATACGATTTCATACATGTATAGAAAGTTCTTACGCAATCATTGTCTATTTATTCATATGTTTTTTTTACAATAGTATCGTATTACAACTTGTAGTAGGTTATAAATATTTTAAATTTAAATTATCTACTATAATAATAATAATTAATACATTGTTAGTAATTTATTTATAATTATTTTGTGTAAAATGTAATAAAACATGACATGCAACGAAGTATGGCTACAAATTGATGTAGGTATTTTAAATGTTTGATAGACAGTATAATGGTAGGTACTCGCGCGATTCGAAAAACTGAAAGAAAATCGGTAATCGGAAAATAGGTCAAAGCGATATTATATCCACAAAAATTTTATATAATTTTATTTATACAGTCATTCATTTATGTATAATTGCGTTAAGCAGATTATTATTTTCGAATATTCTCACAATTATACATTCTTTTTCAACGAATTGAAATATAAAAAGCTTAAATGCTATGAAACTGATTACTTCAATTCTCGTGTGTATTTTTTTGTATTATTGTCTATAAACAGAGATTTCATTTAAATTACCCCCGATTGTTATCTCTTGCGCTTCATATGCAAACATAATTCAATATTATCTATTTTTCTAAATACAATATCGTTTCACTAAATTTGAAAATCGCTAGGATCTTCACCATCTTAAAAACAACATAATCATTAGAGTATTAATTATAAACATTACTAAGTGTTCTAAAAGTTGTTTTTATCTGAATAAACTACAAAGCGTCCCTACTAATATGTACATAATAATAAATGAATAAATAAATAAATAAGTAACAACATTTGTTGATAATAACAGCACAGATGTCGGAACAAAAAGACTAGATTGTTACCAAAGTTATTTTGGTAAATTAACATCCCCAAACAGAAGACCACCACCTAATTATACTGACTAGAACATATATTTATTATTTATTAATATTTTGAAAAAAGACTAGAATAGTTCAATACATTGCATCGCTCACAATAAGTTAAATAAATAAATAAAAGGGTGAGATCAATTTGACTAGTATTAAGTACACAATTGCTTTTTGTAAATTCAAAATATGGCACCTGTTAAAATAAAAATTAAAATTAAAATACTCGGTGGTCTACTGTCTAGTTAAGAAAATAATAGCGGTAATGGTAATCAATAATCGTAATAAATATTGATAATATTAGTTTACTGTCGAAGAGACCTAGTACCCCGCGATTAGTTTTTTTTGGTAATTTATTTATTTCGTTTTTGCCATACGCGTTTACGGTTTTTGTATTTCATTTCATTTTTTCAAATAGTTTTTTTTTTGGAAAATAACTAAATCTAAATATCTACCACTAGCTAAGATTAATGAATGAGAACGGGTCGACGATGCGTTTGGGTGGAAGGGAAAATAATCGATCCCTCGATATACGTATGTTGATTTCAACATGTTGGAATTGTTAAAAAAAACTATCGAAGGAGCAATCACAACCTGGTATAAAAACGAAACGAAACGTTAAGCGCCTATTGAAATTCTCGTCCATTTAACGCAAGATATTTAAAATTTTTGATACTAATTTTTTAATTCGAAGACAGGTACACTTCTTGTCTGTGACAGAAAGGACCATTTAATTTTTTTTGTATAAAACGGTGCACGAAATGGACCCCAATATATTTACAGCATGGGATGAGATGGTTAAAATAGGTATTTTAGACATCTTATTACGAAGTATCATTGTTGTGATGACCTAAATGTATGAAATGCGATGGGCCATAGATTCGTCAGTTTGATTAACAATTTGTTTCGAAGCTACAGTGAGAAAATTTTAAAAATACTAATTTAAAATATATATATCGACGATTTTTTTTATTTAAATTTTCGTCACCGTTAGTTACAATATAGATTTTTATATACATTATTTAATGTTCGTAATAATGATTCTAAAGTCCCTTAACGACGAGAAAACGCCTCGTCTTTGTGGTTGCGGTCGCGAAAAATTTGTACCGCTCCCATACGTTGAAGAAACAGTTACACAAATAATTGCAAAACATACCCTGTATCCTTGAATCACGTCGCTGCATTTAGACATTACTTTCTTTTTTTTTCTATATATACTTTATATATACTTTATTTCTTTTTGATTGGGGAGACCACATTTTTTTGCCATGTTAAGACCATCAAATGGAACCTACTAAAGGATTAAAACTATTGTTTCAAGTTAATGAGATATTGTCGCTTAATTAATTAATGTCGTTCATGTTATTGTTGCCCTATTGTTTGAGTGAATCAATATTTGATTAATTAATTTAAAATAAAAAATAATCCTTTAGTAGTCCGGGTGATTTCCTAATAATCCGGGTCGGGAGCTGTCACTCTCCCTTCCGCTCTGGTTAGCATTCGAAAAATACACTTTTTGTGTTTTTACTTCCAGCGCCCAAGGAATGTCATTTAGCAAGCGTGGAATGCACTACTACTAAAAAAAATATATAGCGGCACATATCAATATTAATACTTACAATTACATTACTCGTCCGAAAACGCTAAATAAATGTCCAAGGTAGTACTTTGTTTGGTAGTTAGTTTTGGTTGTATCGAAAGGAAAAAAATTTTTGGCCGTTATTTCTTAACTGTTTATTATTTTTAGTTAGTTTTTGGCTTAATTTCAGTCTTATCAGAGAGATTGTTCATTTAACGTTAGGTTTATTCATTGATTAATTGAAGTAATTTAATAATAAGACTATTTTTTTAAGGCAAAGTTGCTCACTTGTTTCCTATAACCCTCGAATTTGTAAATTCTTCAAGTTTTCTAAAATATTTTATCACCAATTTTGTCATATTCAAAATTGGTGGATTAAAAGCACGCCAATTTGCGGAACACTCGACATGTTTTATCAAAATTTGAAAATTTTAGTCAAAAATAGGTAAATTCTGTCAAAAGTGGTAAATTTTATTGAAAACTGTTCGTTTCATAATCCATCGAATTCCTGGAAAAATTTAATTATCTTGTAAATTTTGTTACTATACTTCATTCATAGTTAAAAGCTCAGCAATTATTTACGAAATAAAGGCCAAGCTAATAGTAAAACCTATTATTTTATGCTACAAATAGTTTATATTACTCCAAGTAATTGCTAAACAATTTTACGATCACCCTGAGGCTCAATTATCAATGTTTTTGCTAAATTTTGAGGTTCCAAATCGAAATCCAAACAAAATACTACCTTGCCCGTGACTTGTAATCATTTCATGAATTTTCTCTCGCATTAGAACTAATTTTCTTCTTCAATAAAAAAAACCTTTAACAAACTATTGACTCGAACAAGTTAATCCGACGTTACAAATAATAACTCAAGAACAGTTTTTAACGAATGTATCAGTCGTTCTATTTATATTGCACGATATTATCTCAGCCGAAAAAATCGAAATAAAAAAAGGGGTAAAAAATATTAAAAAAAATGTATATCTAAATACATTAGATGCAATAAATATTATTATATGTTCACTAAATATATGTATATCTTAAAGTTACGTGATGGCTTTGAATACTAGCGTCAAATCGTACCGATTTTAACTCGAATTTCTTTCGATTTAAGAAAAATTTAATAGGAAAGATAACAGAAATCTTCTACTGCTTTAGTTAGTTGAGAAGATTATGAAGTTTTGAGATATCTCAATCGAATACATTGAAATAAAACTATCGCAGGAATATGTTAAAGTAAAATGAGAACTTGACTATGACTATGATGAAGATGATTTTATAATGAAAATTAATCCAGCCAATTTTGTTCATATTTTAATGTTCATGTTTAAAATGTCGCACTATTGGCGATAAATTTTTAGAACAAATCCCCAGTTAATTTCTTTGATTAGAATGTTGTTGTATTTAGATAGATTCTTTAATATCTATTATTTTGTTATCTGGTCCCATTCATTTTTATTTATATTTCTTAGCATACTTGTTTACTAAGTATTAAATGAGCCTTTTCGAATTTTCAAACAATTTTTCGTTTATTATTTTACATGTTAACGATTAGTAAAAATGTAAATTCAACGCTAGTAATCAAAGTATTCATCGAAAGAGTCTAAATTAATCCTAATATTAACTAATTTTAGCCGATGGCTTGATAATTTGACTAGAGTGGCCCAGCCGAGTGATGCAATTTCCACCTCCCTCATCCCGGCCTGGGACTGGTTCGTCCGCAAAGCATAAACTAACTCCTCAACAACTATGTTTTATTATTTTTTTTGTGGCGAAAACGCACTTGTTTTGATATAATTAACCTTACTTACATTTGATAAAATTCATAATTCGCGAACATATCGTTCTAAAATCGATAATGTGGCAGAAGAAATAAGCCTATGCAATTCGCCTGCACCCCCGTCACGTCCGCGACGCTCCGCGGTCGAGCAAGAAGCGGGCTTGAGATCGCTTAATTCGTCTACTGATGGCTCTATCTATTTTACCTTTGGTATTTTCGACCACTCTTTTGCGCGTGTCTCTTTGTATTTTTTTTTACTTTTGGCCTATCCTATAACGCTACCGCTATTAATTTACATATTTAATATATAGTTGGTACTTTTTAAAGATTATGTCACTTAAAGTTTAGTAGAAATATTATACTATATTTTTTTGTATAGGTATTATTAAATAAATATATATAAATATTATGTCATTGGCTCTTTAAACAATTTCAAAAAATATTGGAGCCTTGACTCGCTGCTCATAAACACCGTTTCGAACTCGTCACTAATTGCCAATTAAATTTTTATCGGATTTAAATTTACATTTGATATGCTCTCTGCATGTTTTACGAATAAATGACATTTTCTAGTTATTCCCGCATTAAAAATCACAAATTTAACAAGCAAAAATTATTTTTACACATAGGGCGATCTTGAATTAACGACCACATGTATATTATACATGGTCAATAACACATTTTCGCCCTGTATAAAGTTTTAATAATGTATATAATGTTTAAAAACCTCTTCATTTACGAAACTGAGCAATCAATAACATTTTATTTTACGCGTTATTTGTAAATTCCATCGGCTTGGTGAGCATTCGAAACGGATTTTACGAGAAGTTTCTCCCTATTATGTAAGTCCTCCGAGCGCTGTGACTAGTGTTTGCATCACAGAAAACACACCCGGGCTAAATTTGGCATCTGAATCGGCGACAGCACCGCCAGCCACTTAAATTTTTTTTATTTTTTTATTATCCTTATCCAATAACAGTTAGACACACACATCTATACAATTACGAGGAGCGCAGAAATAGTCTCAAAATAAAATATTTTTTTTACATTAAAAAAACGAGAATACAAAACGGCCTGTACAATCAAACACTGATTTGTTATTTAATCACAGCCCATTTGGAATTTCTCGAAGAGAGAGAACCGGCGTGGCGGCGCGTTCACTCAAACAAACTTTCTTTTGCAAAACTAATCGCCTCGACTTAATCTAGAAAATTCGGTTAGACGGATGAATTGCCAACGAAAAATCGGAATTATTACAGTTGCTATTCAACACAAAGAGAAATCGATTCAACTTCAACAATTTACCGGATCGCATATTCGATTTTCGATTATAATCAAGTACTAATTTTCCGTTGAAAACTCGCTCCATAAATTAGATAGTCGATCTAATCAGTCGAATTTACTTTTGCAACAGACGTGCTCGGAGTTTTGCCAGGTGTGTTTTTTAAGTTTTTTTTTTTAAACTAGTGTTATGTATAATATATATAGTGTATACTAGTGGCGAATTAACACCCGCAATTCGGGCGCTTTCAAATCTAAATACAAAGGTTAGTACGGCCTGCTGGCGTCTTTGGGCCTTTTCAGTTGCACTTTAAGTCGCTTCATGCCTATCTGGAAGCCGTTCATTGCCTGAATGGCCGCCTGAGCACTAGCCGGGTTGTCGAAGGACACGAAACCTACAAATTAATCGACGATATAGAGCGACAAACCAACGGGAAATATATCGAACTCACCGAAGCATTTGCTCTGGTTCGTGGCGCGATCTATGAATACTTTCGAACTGATGACGTTCCCGAAGGGCAGAAACATTTGCATTAGCTCCGCGTCTCCGAACTCTTGCGGAAGGTGGTATATGAAGAGGTTGCATCCTTCGGGACCTGATATTGAGCAACCTAGCGATTGAAAATCTGTTTACAATTTTTAAGTGTTTGAACGCAGTTTTAAAATTTTGGGGGATGAAAGAATATCCATTCATAATAATTAGTACAATGAATTATGAATGATATATTCTTTCTTATCAATAAGTGCTACATACTATTTTTATAATTAGGGTTTTTCTACTCGTATGGGTTACAAAAATTTTTCAATTTTATCCTATTATATAGCAATTGAATTTCACGATTGAATTTTATACACAAATTCTCTACTCTTTTAGTTACAAACAAATTGACTGTTAATTGAAAAATTTTTGACTATTTTATTAGAATGAGCTATGAATATGATCAAGATGAGGTATGAAGATAATTACATTACCTACAACTTACAAGACAACATCAAACATTATAAGCATATACAAATATGCAATATAAACCAAATAAACATATAACATAGATATATTCAACATCAATACGCAGCATTTTAAATTAAAATTACTAGTGTGTTCATGTTAATCGGACAATTACGAATCAATAGTCGTTTTGAACCTTATTTACTTATTATAAAATGTGACTTCTTGGCCAGATTAGCATGATAACACTACATTTAAAAATACACACTGTCATATTGACATGGTTTTATTTTAAAAATCAAAGTGATGGGATTTTAGTAGGTACATGAAACAGTTTAAATTGGAAGAAACCTCTTAAATATACGCGTAACGTTTGATATCCGTGTATATTTTAAGAGATTTCGCCGTCTATTTCTTACCTTCTCTTTGTGCTGGAGCTACTGCCGACATGGGTTGTGGAATAGCCTGTGGGAATTGACCATATACCGCGGGATAAGCTGCCGACAAACATAAACAAAATAACACAAAATACTTTTCCACTAATGCAATATCAAACATGCATTTATAGTTGGGCTTTCCGAGAAGAGGCAAATTTGTAATGGTGGATGAAGGAAAGAACGAAGAATTGAATGGACTTTTTTATCTAAATAATTAATCATCAGATTGATGTGAAATGAATAAATAATATCTCAAATTTAACGTAAATTACTATTCGCTTTCACTTACAAAGAATGTTCATGACAATTGACAGGTAAATATTGATTATCAGTAATAAATTAAATCAATTACTTCGTCAGTACAAATAACCCAAATAAAAGCGTACATTAAAGCCTTCCCATACATATTTTATTCAAACAGTAAATTTTTTATAATTCTTCAACTCTTCGGCTTTAGGGCAACATCAAAAACATTGAAAAACGGGAAGTTTTGTTCATAAGAAAACGTTATTAAACAACCATTTCAGGAGCAACTTCTCTCCTAACTGTTATTCGGAAGAAGAATGAACTGTCACATCCAATAACGGGACATTTTTTTCTCGAATCGAATCTCTTTGCGTTCGTTTAGAAAGGGAGGCATTCATGGAAAAAATCACATCTAAGAGTATCGATCAAGAGTGTTAAAAAATATGAAGCAACAAACATCTAACACATCGTCTCGTGTAACATCGAAACACTTATGATAAATCGCAAGCTATACGATAAAACACTTAGAAAAAATATACATTTATTTATCGAAACAATCACACCAAAGGACAGAGATGAATTAATCGTCTTTAACGAAAAACATCAAACGAACATGCATTTGAACGACTTCGAAACGAAGATTTCTCGCGCGCATTTGTCGATGAAGGTGATTAAAAAAAAAATAATACCCACCTACTCCGGGGTACGCGGGCTGCATGCCAGGATATGCAGGATGTTGTATCGCTGCCTCGCCGTTCGGCAAGCCTTGTGCAGGTATGGACAGATGTAGCGCATCTGAACGACAAAACGAACTGAACGTTAGAATATACATCCAAAACTAACCGAATTTTCCCGCGGATTATACTTACGTGCTTGATAACTTTGAGGAGGGATTCCGTTCGTATAGACTGGCTCCTGTCCGCCAGGTTGTCCATTAGGAGTTTGCGCTGCCATATTAAACGTTGGCATTGTGGGGGAAGGTAAACTTGGTATTGTGCCGTTGACAGGTTGACCGTTACCTGCTCCAACAGGTACATCTACAAAATGAATAGGTCCGTCATGACCGTCATGTATTTTATACGAGGGGTAGTTCTCGACGTCCCGATCTAAGGGAACAAGAAGAAACATGTACAGTGATGCATATCGTAGTGTTGAGTTTTTTTTATCGGATTGTATGGCTCACCTGAGTTTGGCGGTAATGCCGAGTTCGCCATCCCATTGATAGCAGCGTGAGGTAACTGCGTTGCTATCGCGGCCATTGGATTTATGTACGTTCCCTGCGCCGTTGCCGCCGCCATAATAGCGGCTTGTTGCTGGAAACAAAGCGAATTCAATCAGATTGTCGAGTGGCGAGATTCTTTAATCCTTGTTTAGCCGCAATAAAAATTTTAACAAGTCCTTAAGCTCGAGCGCGTACCGTATTAATTTCGATTTTCTTTGTTCGAAAACGCCCGGCGTGGAAAAGTTACGGTCGCCGCAAACGCAGGCGAACAAGAAAATCGCCGAAATTCCTTCAGAAATTATTAAACCCCTAATATCCCGATGTTCGAATTAAAACTTAAATAACCAATTCCTACCGACGTTAAGTGTTAATAAAACGTTGTGTTTGCGAAGGGTTTGCGTGACTGAGTTTGAAGGAAAATTAGAAAATTGAACCCGACAGCGGTGCCCTTCAGCAAACATTATTCGGAAACGATGGTGTCTAGCGTGCCTGCCTACCCGGTATTGACATTTTGGTGATGACAAATAATGGTTAATTATTAATGTAATGAATAAATTTCTCAGCTGAACATTTTACGTACTTAGTTTAATAATTAAATACAATTTATTCGAAAATTTTTACAAAGATGCGCTATTTTGATATCTACCATAGAGCATTACTGAGGTATTTAAGGTTGAAATAAAGTAATGATATTTCTACGTGCTTTTGAAAAAACTCGCATTAATTTTAATATATCGTACCTTAGGTATAATTATTTTAAATACCTACTACCTCAGTAATTTCCAGTTTGAAAAATGTATGCACAAATCCGCCAGTAAATAGAATAATTAAAAATGTCCGGAATACGTACAAATATCCTTGATATTAAATCTAGTAAACTAACTTCAAAGAAATTCGGTACGTAAATATTGAGAGAACGCTTTTGAAACTCAGAAGATTAATTTAGGAAATCTTTGTGAGATTTCAGCGGAAACACCTGTTTTAAATGTTTGCGTAGGTATATTGGAAATCAGATTAGAATTTTGCTTTTGCTTTGCTTCCCTTACAAAAAAGAAAGATTTTAGATATCTAGATGTCTATATGCATTCAATGGACACTTTGATAAGTTTGATGTTGGTATGTAACCAAAGGAAGCGGAATTGTATAAAAGAGCTTTAAAGCAAAATAAAATAAAAACACAAGTGTATTTTGTAAGATATCAGGTTTGCGTTTTCCGCTTCGACAAAACCTTTAAAATTACAAATTTATGTAAAATAAGCATCACGAGAAGAGCAGGGAAGTGGCCTTAATTTAGTATAATGATTTATGTGTGAAATTTTGGACGTTTTCAAAGTCGGTCGTTTGCAATTACCTGTGCGTAGGCTCCATAAGCCCCAAACTGGTTGAACACGAAAGGGTTGAGAAGACTCATGTTTCCGGCCATCTGCTGCATACGTCTAAGTTGACGCTCTTTTTCCGTATCGGCGAACTTTACTACTAAACTCGAAGAAGCTCCCTGAAACCAAACAAGTAAATAAATATTAGATACAAATTAGAGAAAATCACTGTATCTAATAAATCTCACATTAAATGGATCCAATCAAATTATAAACCATGTATTTATAGAAGTATAACACTTTTTAATTATTTAGCGATTCAATTGCACCCTCAACCGTTCCATTATTTAGGTGGTTTATGTTTCGCGTCGATTACAGCAAACGCGTTTTCAAATGGAAGCGGCGCGTCCGATGGTGAAAAAACGAAAGCGGTGGAACGGGCTGCTGGTTCCCGGGTACACGAAAAAGTGTTAATCCCGTTTGCATTCGCGAATTTATCCACACGCGCTGAAAAAACCGATAATACTCCACCGTCGCTGAGATATTGAAGCGGTTATCGATCATGTACGTTTTTTTTACAAAACCCCGTTTAATATTCGCAATTTACGGTCGAAAATTAGTACGCCGCGATTCCGTTTTTTGCCCTGGAAACGTCCTTTCATTTTACTACGCCCGCATATAATGCATATTGCTTTCCTTCGATCAATAAGCAACAATTTATCTTTTAGCATGTTTGGATGCGACCCTTATACTCGTGGACCGTTGACGAACTTCCAACCCCCCAACGCTTCTACCTCCCACTTGCAGGAACTGACTGGCTCCTGAATTTTCACTTTTTATTATCCTTTCCGTTCACTCACATACATTTCCTTCGTATATAATTAATAATAGTGAATTTAAATACTATAATTACAACATTGTTGTAACCTGATATTATGCATAAACATTGGAAGTAAAATATTTTTTTTGCGTTGTTCATATAAGAGTTTATTGGACAGACTATACCGGTCATAAAAAAACCGTTAAAGATTTTTTTGCAACGTTTTCAAATAAAACGTTCCGTGGGATTTTAATCTCGACTAAGTCCTGTTCTGTTTAAAAACGAAGGGAGAAAATATCCCGAGGCATTCAATAACAGAATGTCGCTAGTCCTCGTCCACGTCCAGATCCAAAGGAAGACATGTGGAATTGGATGGAGCTCTTCAACCGAGGAGCCAGGATTTAACGATTTCTAATAGATTTCTGTGAGTGGTGGAGCGAGGCACGGAGTGCTCTCGTCGAATATTCGAGATTGTGTGTACTCGTACGGAATCAGCGGCGTGGTCCAGAAAAAAAAAATAACACCAATTTACTCAAATTGTCAGCACTATAAATAGGTACCGAAATATTAGAGTCAAGTATTGCCTAGTATATAGGTCGTTATTGTAATTTTGTCGGTAGGAGGTCGGTCGGTGTTTAACAATACATTTCCGTGGCCACCGTGTAAAAATCTTCCTGTCTCGAATATATGCAAGACCCTTTCACGGTCGGTCTGTCGAGGGTTTATGGGTCACTTAAATCCGTGTGAAATTTAACAGTACATCATCCTAACCCCTGCGAAAACATGCAAATACAATGGGCGAATACCAGTCGGATTTGAATAAACGGATGGAAATCAGAAAAATGCCGCTTTCCAGATTTATTTTCCTGTTAAACATCGAACGCGAAGGAAAAAAGAGTCGGGGCGACAATAAATCCCATAAATCTCGGAATTTTTGCTATACAAACAACATAAAAATTTATTTGAATTCATCGAATTTTTCGCTGAACCGCGTGTAGTTAAAACTTTTTTTAATATTCACCTACTAACTACTTATTCAATTCATTCTTCCTTAATATTTCCATGACAGAAATGATATTCCAATAAATCAAATTCGTGGTACTTTCGATTGTTCGGAAATGTGTGGTTATTTTGCAATATTATGAAAAATCCCATGCAGGATTATCTCATTTTTTCGTAAATATTGCTGAAATCAAACTTACAAGCCTTTCGATTTCATTTCCTTTCTTTTTTCATCATCCAAGAATCCTGTGAGATTCAGCTAAATCCCAGACAATGAAAGATTCCTTTTATACTTCGTTAATCCCCACCCGAACAACGAAAAAATAAGTAAATAAAAAAATATATCCGCAGAAAATGAACTTTACTGAAACGAAAATACATTGAATTAGAGAGCGGATTTTCCGATATGTCAAGTAGGTTCAAACGACGTTCACGAGCTTAGAGCTTTTTAAACAGAGTATTTTGAAAAGTATGTCAATGGTAGCTGGTAACTGCCGAAAAAGCGGGATCCGGATCGTCCCGATCGCCCGCTCCCCGCCACGTCCTTAGTGCAAGCAGCTTGTTTCAGCACAAGCACACTGATCCGGTCAGTTAATGAAGCGTAATCCTTCAATAATGAGCGTTAGAGCTTCGGTACGCATCGATGGGCTTTAGATTTTCGGGGCTTTCTCGAACGTAATACGCCGTTTGGTATAATACAATAAGACTACCTCTCATAGGTTGAACATAATACGTAATTCTCCAACGTAGGTATAAGATCGATAACTATACAGAGATCATGTGTAAGTATATGATACTTAGCTAGATATAAGTGGAGAGGAATATTAATCCTATGTGTGCTCAATTTTTGGAGGGTTACAGTCGCCTAATAAAGGTAGAATATTATTTTAAAAAAACTTGTCTTTTTCGCTTCTTGTTTAAAATAACTCAACCGTCGAGGGCGTTGTTCCTCGGTCGAGGAGACCAAAAAAAAAACCTGGGTGCAAAACTAAGTGATGCCCGAGTATGACATGGAAAAGGTCTTCATTTGTTATCCTACCAAATTTAATTTCGGGCTCGGAATATTCATGAAGGCGCATCAAAATTAAAATTCGGTTCTCCTTGAGTAGGTTAGCTAACAAGGTTAAATTAATTTTGAAATTCATATAAATTGTGGAAAGATTTCGCGGGTAATATTTCGGCATAATCCTGTTGTTGTAAGGGAGGCAGAGAGGTGTACGGTTGAATAATTCCTACTTATTAACCATGAAAAATTGCGGAGGATTACGAGATATTTAATCCCGCATGATACTCGGAGAAGGTGAATGTTTTTAGGTTATGATTATGGTAAGCCGTGTTTACTTTGATGTTGTTTGTTTTCATTAAAAAAATGTAACAATGCCATTTTCGTCCCGTGTAAATACTTTTATTTGAAAATTAATTAGAATTGAAATTTAATAGCTTTTGTATATTCATTGGAGTACAAAAATCAAATACGTCTCCGTGCGACAGGAAATCTTTGTGACCTATAACATAATCTGTTTATGGTCTAAACAAGGGGCTTTTAACAGTACTTAGCGGGAAGCGTACTCCTTTAAACACGGCTTTCCTTTCAAATGCATTACACGTGGAAAATATTCCAAAGGGAGAAAAGATCACCGTCGCGTTCAGTTAGCGTTCCGCTTTCACCAACCCTTTGCTCTCCCTGTATCGTACGCTTTTAGGTCAAAATTCACCTATACATAAGGGAAACATTAGAAAACGTTTTAGGTCTAATAGATTTTCAACTAGACCTTTCGTTACATTATTGAATTTGATCGTTTTCGGAGGCGCACATGCATGTCCTCAGAGCGCTTAATTAATTTCGGTTTGTAGTTTGCACAATTAAGGTTTTATAAAAGCTCTTCGCTGTATAAACGCTATTTTGTTCCCTCAAAGTTACGTTTTAGAATAAAGTTACGTTGTAGGAATTCATATTGCATTTAGTGTATTTCTAAAATCAATATAACAAAACTTTTTCTTCATGGAAGAACGAGAATAAATGAATTAATTTAATAAATAAGTAATTAATACAGCTAATTTTTGTTAATATGTAGCTGACTATAATAAATAAACACATCAAAACAATTTTCTCCGTTTCGTTAGGAAGGGTTTAATTGGAAACTTTCGTTTTCTAATGAAACGAAACTTTCCCCGTACTATAATCGGGAGCGTTCTTCTGCTATCTCGCCTCAACTTTCACAAAATGTATAGCTAAATTAAGATTTAGCGAAGTCAGTAAAGCGGCAATTTTCGCCTTAATAGAGCGTTGTGTTAGTGAACTTTATTAAAACCTTCATTGTGATATTCAGTTTTAGAGAGAAACTTATCTGATACAAGTATTCATTAGGGAACTATAAACAAGAGTGCAAACACTACAACAATAGACGGTGCAAAAGTGATAAATATTCCGACAAGGTATTGTTTTCTCGCTACTGAAGATTTCTTTCGCGCGTTTTCTTCACTCTATTTTCTAATTAAAAACCACCGCTGGTTTAAAATAAATGACAAATAATTTGTTACTTAACTCTATTAATAACACAAGCAATTAAATTATTTATTTACGCGACGACGAATGAGTGATAATAATTTCATATATTATTTAATCCGGTGTCAAGAAAAACGTAATATTCCGTTTTATGGGATCAACACAAAACGTACGAGCGATTTCATTTACCCTCGAAATGTTATATCAATTTTCACGACTGCTTTCCCTTTTGTAAGGTCGGCGACCAGACGTTGGTAATATCGACAGTTACAGAAAAATAATACGACTTGGTGGGTGTTATTTTATCGTACAGCGCCAGAGAAAACCGGGGATAAATCAAACAAATCATGCGTTCAAGGGTTTTGCGGCGAGGAATTCCATTTATGACAGGCCGATTTTTTCGCTTCATTGGTTTCTACAGACCGAACGTAACGCTAATAAGCAGGTTTTATTAGTTTTCGGTTAAATAAATGCCTCTGGGGAGGATATTTTTCGTTTAAAAGAGAATTCTCTAGAACTCGAAATTTTCCGACGAAAAAAAACATATTCCACGTAACGCTATTTTTACGGTTAAACGGAATTTTTGGCAATTTTTAATAGTTTGCTTTGTAGGTACCTGAAAAAGCGTAATGTAAATTTGCAAAAACGCTCTGTCAATTAATTTGATAGATTATTGTTTCCACGTAAAATATTTGTAATGTTATTCAACCAAAAGGACTCTTTACAAAAAAACGCAGTAAAAAGCTTGTTCAACATTCTAGATAAAATTTTTCGTGCAAATACGTTTATATTTCATTTACGTAGAAAACAGATTACGCTTTTTATTCGGCTGTAATTCCGTTTTTCCGTCG